CCCCACAAAAAAGGCAAAAGGTTTACTGTGTCAATATGAAATATACAACTTATTTTGGGGAGATAACTCTGGTAAACAGCACTATTCTTTTAAAGAGAACCACTGGCAGAAAAGAGGAGGATCCTCTTCGGTCATGTTCTCCCTGATTACACATTTAATTGGTATTTCTGACTAATGCCTAAGCTAAGTAACTGGCTTGTGCTATGGGGTTGACAATAAAAATCTGAAACACATTTCTCACATATGGACCCCGTCAATGGACCAAAGCTTGAAAATACAATGACAAGAAACATGAAAACTGGGAAATAATTTTCCACCTTGATTTGCCTTTGATCAAGAACAAGGAGAAAAAAACTGGAACACAGAACAACAGCCAAAAAGATTGAAAGTTTGGGAAATAGAGCCTATTATAAAAGATTAAAGAAGTTAGAGTTACTTAGTTTGAAGCAGAAAAGAAAATAGTTAAGGCTTATAACAATAAATATTACTGAATAAATAGGTGTTAGGAAAGCAAAGCAAAGAGAAATGGGCAAAATTCCCTGAAGACATACAATTAAATACAAAAAGATTCTTTCAAATGTTCAGTATTTAAACAAAATAGAAAAGAGGATCCTGACTGGTGAATGCTCAGAGAGAAGCAACACAACTGCTTCCAGGGAGGACAATGAGGGAAGATGGGAACAGCTATGACAACCTAACAGTCAACCTGAGAGATCCAGAAAACATGATGTGAGCATGACCAATATAGAACCTTGAGATACAAAACAGGAATGATAACAATGAGAGGGTGGGAATCTGGTATACAAGTGTCCTGACGGCTCTGTGAATAACGGCGGCTATCAGTTAGAAATGGGAACTGGAAAAGGGAGAAACTAATCAGCAGCCAGCCATTGTTAAAGGCCTTGTCTGGTCTGTTTTTAGAAAATAAACGATGGATAAAAGAGCCAATTAATGCTTCTGTAGACTCACTCAGCAACCCAGTCTGAAGTCTTGAATGGAAAGTGTGAGTTTTATATAGAACTCCAATAAGGAAAAAAAGGCATTAAGCATTTACCAAATGTAATTTCTAAAAAGTGGATACTATAGGACAAGAGTCAATATGGTGTCTTCTTAAGAGCTATCAAGTATTCTGTAATTCAAAAAAATTACGAAAAAGCTTATAGTGCATAGGCAGAATAATTTTAGGAGGAATGAACAAAGTTATAGAGGAGGAAAAAAAATAAAACTGACCAAGTGGCTATTACATGCTAAAGGCTGTTAGGAACGTTAAAAAGCATGTCCTCATTGGTATGATGTCTGGAATTTGCTTTAAAATAATCCAGAGAGGACAAGGGAAGTAAGGAGGGGTATAGATAAAATAAGATTGAGTCTAATTTGATAACTATTAAATTTGGTGATGAGGACATGGATGGTCATTACACTATTTTATTTTTGTTGTTTTGAACTTTCCATGATTTTTAAAATTATTTACTTTTATATAATGAAAGAGTAAGTGGGAGGGTGTTTGTGCACTTGTGAGTGAATGTGGGTTTAATCTCTATAGAATAGAAAGGACTTCTATGTAACTCTCCAAATGAGACACAAATAGGCCCATCAACTATAAAAACTCTCCATGAAAGAGGAATGTCTTAGCTAAGTTGGAAATATTAATGAGGAGTTATGCTTTCAGAGGAGCAGGAAAAATAACAAGGAGAAATGTTAACAGAATAGAAAAATGTGGAGGGGAAAAGCAGCAAACAAATGGCAGGAACATCTTTCTCAAGCAAAAGGGAAGGGAAGGTATTTCTTGAGTAGTTACTGTATTGACAGATGTTTTACATCATTATCTCATATAATCCTGACAGCAAATTTGTAATATGGATATTACCCTCAGTTTAAGATGGGGAAATAGAAGTTCACAAAGGCCAAGTGACATACAAACAATCATGCAGATATTAAATGACAGAAGCAAGGTTCAAAGTTTCTTGCCCAAGCTTAATAGTCTTTGCACTACACCATAATCTATTTCCCAAGAAGCTACATTAAACATCGAACAAAATAAACAGCTTTGTTAGAGGTACATAGATTAGGGGAAAGGGAAAGGAAAACACAATCTAAAAAGGACGAGAGTTAAGAAAATGGATTTAATTTTGTTATGTAAGCATATCCAGGCTGTTATGGTAGTTTAGAGAGGGTGCATGGGGAAGGCTATGTAACTAAACTGGGATTGGAGTAGGGCTTAGCCAGGCAAGGTGGGAAAAATGTTTCCAGGGAGGAAATAGCAAGAATAGACCCATCGAGATAAGAAAGGAGACAAACGAATTGAGGAACTTTAAATTGGTCAGTATTCATTCACTAATTTAATAATATTTACTGAAGTCCTATTTTACAGCAAGAGCCAAGTGTACAGTAGTAATCAAAAAAGAAGAGTCCCTCCCTTCATGGAACACACAGCTTAGGAGACACACATTCAAAGAATTACACAAAACATAATGACAAACTGGGAAGTGTTGTGAAGAAAGTGTATAGCATGTTATGACAGCCTCTAAAGGGGGACTTACCTAGGGATAGTGGGATGATCAGAGATGGTTTCCCTGGGGAAGCGGCATTTAAACTATAAGCTAAGAATGAACATGCATTAAGTAGATGCGGGATAGCTAGGGAGACAATTCAGTCAATGGGAATAAAATTGTACAGAGGCCTTGAGACTGGCGAGAACAATGCAGAATGTAGAACTAACAGAAAACCAGTGTGGCCAGAGTACAGGAACAAATGAGAAGGTGGGAAACAAGGCTGGAAGAGTAGGCAGGCTAAATCACATGTGGCCTTTAAGATTACATTTTGGAGTTTGTCCCAGGAACAAACCTTTCAGGAAAGGTTTTTGACCAAGGGAGTGATGGAGTAAGAAATGCATTTTGAAAGTATCTATTCTCAGGGGTGCTAAACTTCAAGTCCAGAGATATCAAAGGGTCTGCATAGAATCCAGAAGTCCGTGAATTTGAATGAGGGGGGGAAATCTTTATTTTTCACTAGCCTCTAAATAAAATTTAGCATTTCTTTCAATTATGAACAGGCCCTTTGACTTTGTCACCAATACAAATCTCAAATATGTTCACATCATATAACAGTTATTACAAAAATCTCACAATGATGGTTTTATCCCTCATAACATCATTACTTTAAATCATGGACGTTTTTAAAAACATTGCTAAATATTGTTATTTAATGCACTAATAATGAACCACATATATTACACCAAATTTTAAAAATATTATTTTGATATCTATATTGGTTTCCTTTGTAGTTACACATTTAAAAATATTATTCTCAGAAGTCTGTAAGTTTCACCAAACTGCTAAGAGGTACATGTCATAAAATAAGTTTAAGAATCCCAGCAGAAGGTAGAAAACAGATGTGGGGAGAAGGGCAGACAGAAGGTAGAGAAACAAGCAATCCAGGTAAGATGACAGAAGCTTAAACTAAGATGATGGAAGTGCTGGTGGAGAGAAGACCAATTTGAAAGATTTAGGAGGTAAAATTGACATTAAAGACTCCTCTCAAATGTAATCTTCAAAAATACTTAGTGTTATAGAAATGCTTACAAAATAATGGTAAGTAAAAAAATGCAGAGTCTAAAACTATCCACACAGTACGATGCAGATTAAAATTCTATTGCGCACAGAAAAGACTGAAATGATAGAAAGTATTTTAAAATATTAAACATGGTTATCACTGGGTAATATACAGTATTAAAAATGTTTATTTTTTTCCTTAGAATTTAGTTCTAAGTTTTTCCATATCTTGTAAAATGAGTATTAGAAAAAAGGAAGCCTAACTTTAGTTTTTTTGCATGAATTTTAATGATAGGATAAAATGTTTATGATATGTTTTGAAGTAAAAAAGGACATAAAATTTTACATATGGTATGATCTCAACCATATCCATATATATATATATCCATATATATATATATATATATATATATATATATATATATATATATATATATGGAAATTATGGGTGATTTCTTTATACCGATAGATTTCCCATGTTTGCTATAGCAACCACACATTACTTTATAAATTACATTACATTTAAAGGGCACAAATGGGTGGATTTGCTTTGGACAGAAGAAAGAACTCTTTAAGATTTAAAATGAAAACAAAGAAGAGGGATTGAGATGGACAGAGTTTGTTGGTGGGGGAAGGACACTCAGAGAGTTCACACCTAAAGGACTCTATAGCCTCAGCAACGCAGGAGGCAAGGACATCTACAGGTCTACAGCGAGCAGAGGGCTGGGTAGGACCAGCAATACTACAATGAGGTTGAGTGTTTACGACAGTCCTATGGGGAGCACAGACAACTGTCATGGAGCACAGAGCACTCCGCTAAGGATCATTAGGGACAAATAAAAATGGTATTAATTAGTGCTGTTCTCAAATTTCGTAAATCATTTGTGGAGCTTTTTAAAAATGTCAGATCCCCCACACAGTGATTCAGTTTGTCAAAGTAGAGGCCAACTAATCTGCATTTTTAACAAGAGAAGTATTTCAGGTGAGCTCAGACCATGTTTTGGGAAACACTGGTTTAGAGTCTGGCTTGAAAACAAGGGACAAATCTATTGATATAAAAACAATTTTCAGATTCTTTCCACTCCTATCATTCCAATTTATATAGGGAGTCTAGGTTTCTCGTTTTGTTTTGGTTTGGTTTATTGTCTTGTTTTGGAATTTCAGGAAAACAAAAATCATCTTAGAAAGATGAGTAAAAGTAGCAAAGACAAGAAAACACACCAATGGTCAAAAATAACTATTGGGTTGTCGGGAAAGTCATGATGCATTTTTGCAATAAAAAACAGAAAAAATACGTCATGACTTTTCCAGCAACCCAATATTATCTGTATTGTACTGGGTTGCCGGAAAAGTCATGACCTATTTTTCCCATGTTTTTCATTGCAAAAATGCATCATAACTTTTCCAACAACCCAATAGAACTTCAGGCCAAGCTACTTATCACCTTACCTTGAGCAGAAGAGCAAAATTACTCTGCAGAGTATTAGTCACACCATTTTCATACAATTTTTTCCTTGTGTGGTTTTCACTCACAATCCCACCACCAGATTGGTATCTTAATAATGACTTTAGCATGGTTTCAAAAGGGTCCGCTGAAACACACAAATTAAACATTTCTAAGTCAATCACACACAAAAAAAATCTGCAGCAAAAGAACATACAGATCAGGGAGGTATGGAATTGTAGATGCTAGAGCATGACAACTTTAAAAAAAAAATAAAAAACCTCCCTTAAATGTCTTTTCTAAATATGAACAGCTCAAGAGGCAATAAAATTGGCAAGAATACAATATCCTGAATGGGAATTCTACTACAAATCATCAATACTTGCATAAATTTTCAACCTACATGACAATAATATCTTTGTTTTAAAAAAGCTCATTTCAGTAATATTAAAGCAAAGTTGATTTCTGTATATAATTGTGAAGTATTATACTTAAAATTATTTAGCTGAGTTCAAAAATTTCTTTTCTCCTTCACTATTGGAAGTGTTTGTTTAATGAGTATATTGTTTTCACACACAAAATATATTGTCATTGTGAACAATTACAACACAGTAAAATACAAAGAAGAAAGTAAAATTCATCTAAATCTTACCACAGAGATACTCCCTGTTAAACATTTTAGAGATTTTTTTTTTATAGCTGTTAACATTTCTTAACAGAGAGAGAAAGGCAGAAAAACCTGTCCGATTTCACAAAGAACTACAGTCCCTTCTTTGCTGATTCATTAGTGTGATCATTTGAATACTATCTGATGCTTCCCCCACTCCCTGACACTAAACTATAAACTCCATAAGAGCAGAGGCCATCTGTTTTTACTCATCATCGTATCTCCTGACAGAGCCATCTTTCTATGTTGTGGAATGCTTAGTGGTTAAGAGCATGAACTCAGGCCAAAACTGCATAGAGTCCCAGCTTCATCACAAATTAGTAGTGTGATGTTGGGCAAATGACTTAACCTCTCTGGTTCTTCAATTTTGTCTTCTGTTCAATAGGGGACAACCATAATACCTACTTCATAAGGTTGTTATGAAGACTGAATGAGTTAATATTTGTAAAGAGTTTAGAAGTGCCTGCATATAGTAATTGCTATACAAGTAGTTACTAAGTAAAATAAATCTATATCATCTTAAGGCCTGAAAGTAAAAGCAGCCATTGATAAATATTTCTTTGCTTCAAATTTTTATTATAAATAGTGTAATATATCTTTTCACATTTATGTGATTATCAAATTCATGAGAAATTCCTGAAAACATCATTGCTAAGTCAAAGGTCATTGTCAACCTTCTCTCCAGAAAGTTTGTAAAACATATATACTCTACGCTTCTCTATTTCTTCATCAACAATGAGTTTTGCCAATATTTTTCATCCCTTTAGTCAGAAAGGTAAAAATCTCATTTTTATTTGCATACCACTGGTTACTAATGAGGCTAAAATCTTTTCATTTGCTTATCGGTCATTTGTATTTTTTCTTTCTTAATTACCTTGTTTTTGCCCATTTTTCTACAATTGCATTTTATTTTTATTTTCTTATTAGTTTTTATTTACTTTATATATATGGGTGGGAAATAGTTTTCCAAATTCTATTAAACTTTTTCATTCTACCTTTTTATTTTACAGGAATATAGTCATCAATTATTACTCATTATGTGTAGTAATGAGTGGCCAACATCTTCCCATCTCTCTTTTTTAACCTTTTTCAAGGTATTTTTATTGTACTGAAATTTTTCATTTTTATGTAGACAGATTTACCCATCTTGTGCTTGATGGCTCCTACATCTCATGTCATGGTAAGAAAGGGTTTATCAACAAACCCCCCTCAAAAAATTTAATATTTAGCCATGTTTTCTATTACTTTTACATTAATCATTTGGAATTTGTTTTTATATAAAGAGTAAGGCAAGATTCAGACTTTTTTTCCCAAATAGCTGACCAGTTTTCCCAATATCATTTATTACCTTCCCCCTTACCATAAAATGTTATCTTTATCATATATACTTGGTTTGTCTAATGAACTACTGTGAGTGAATCCCAGTACAAGGTTCTTCAAATTAATCTAACTTTATAAATACATTGTTCTATCTGATATTACAAGTATTCCCCTCATTAATGTGCTTTTCTGGATGTTTCTTGGCTGCTCATGTATCTCTACTCTTCCAGATGTACCCTGGAACTATTTTTTCAGGTTCCAAAAAAATTTCACATTGGGATTTACACACACACACACACACACACACACACACACACACAAAATGGGGGTGCCAAAAAACTGTATACACATGACTTGTATTCATTTTCTGTTATTGGTATATATTAAATATTACAATTTTAATACAGTTTTTTCCTTTCTTAAAATGTGTAAACATTTTTTTTGGCACACACACACACATACACGCACACATATGCTCAGACATACATAAATTGAAAGAAAAAAATCATCATTTTACAATATTGTGTCTTAAATGAGGTAATAAATATAAAGATTTCTGTACAATGCCTGGCACATAGTATAAAGCATTCAATAAATGTTAGCTATTCCTATCCAAGAACAATGTGTGGATCTTTATTTATAGACATTTATTCTTAAAAGATAAGGATCAGCTAATTAAAAAGAAAATTAAACTTACATGTCTTATTGGGGTTGATATGCTGCTTCAGTACATCAACAGTGCCCAAACTAACCACAAGGCGCCTGCCAAACCAGAAGGAGACCACAGGCCCATATTTCTCATGCAAATTAACCAGGAACTCGTGTAAACTTCCACTGTTCACAATATCTGGAAGATTACCATCTCTGAGAAAAGAGCAACATTTGACAAAACAATCAATTTAATTTGGGAGAATCAGAAAAGCAATAGTTGATTATGAATTAACTGTGTCAAGAGATGAGACCAAATGTACCTGAAATTCAAATTACTGCAAAATCCAAAACTCTATTATATTTGACTTCTCACTTTCTATAGTTATATTTAGATATGGATTTGTCTGATGTTTTGAGAATTCATAAAACTTCAAACCAAGTAAGAAAAGATAAACAAGGGCTGGCCGAGTGGCTCAGCTGGTTAAGAGTTGGATTAAGGGGCTGGCCAAGTGGCGCATTGGTTAAGAACTGCCTTGGGATGCTAGAGGGCCCCGGATCCCACAGATGAGGGCCAGTGACACTACCGTCTATAGCTAAGATGCTGAACAATAGCTCGACCTGGAGCTGGGCTGCTGCGAGTCGCAGGCGACGGCGTTGGCTGCAGCCCCTGCTGCAGTGGGTTGCCATCGGCTACCATGTGTAGCCAGCAGCCAGTGAGAGCGGCCCTCAAGCCGCTGTGAGTGGCGTCCAGAAGCTGGCGACTGATCTGCCTCATCTGGGAATGACGGTGTCAACTTGGGCCAGTGAAGCAATGTCCTCCACAACTAGACTGAAGAACAAAATGACAGCAACTGTCTGTTCCCCTTCCCTCAATTCCCCAGCGCTGTTCCCATCCCTCAATTCCCCAATTAAAAAAATATCTAAAAGAGTTGGCTTAAGAGCGTGGGCTCTGAGCAACGAGGCTGCTGGTTCAATTCCCACATGGGCCAGTGACACTGCACCTGAGCTGAGCTGTTGCTGAGCTGCCAACAAGTGGCAGGATAGCTTAGCGGGTGTAACAACAAGATTGCCTGTTTGATGGTGGGCTATGCCACCTGCAACTAAGACTGAACTTGGCACCTTGAGCTGAGCTGTCCCCCAGATAGCTCAGTGAATAGAGCGTGCACTCTTAACAACAAGGCTGCTGGTTCGACTCCCGCATGGGATGATGGCTACGCCCATCCACAACTAAGATTGAACACAGCACCTTGAGCTTAGAGGCCACAAGCTGCCGACGGGAAGCCAGATGGCGACTGGCGCCCTCCACAACAAAGACTAAAGAACAACAACTTGGCTGGTCCCTTCCCCAATTCCCCAATAAAAACCTTTAAAAAAAGAAAAGGTAAACAAGAAACATCTGACTTAGACACTAAGAAACTACCCAATTTTGGCAGCACCTCATTCTTAAGATAGCAATGAACATAACATCATCATAGGCTGATGGAAAACATCAGATCACTATGTCAATTTTTTTTCCTTTTTTCCTTCTTATCCTGTCTTTCTATTTTCAACTTTTTCTGGCTGGGGATGAAAGCAATTAAAGGTTTTGGTTTATATAATCCTCCTTTCTGTTCTTAACGAAGTTTAGGTTGTATGCCAAGAAATAAGCTGAGTGTAAACAAAAGAATTAAATAAGCTGAGTAATCTAAAAATATGGTTCATTTTTTATACCAAAAATTAAGAGCTGACTCTACTTGATTCCAAAAAAATACTCACTTTTCTTCAGTTGGAGTAATCCCCGGAATTCCTGAAGCTTGTCTGGAAGCCTTAAGGAAAAATTTTAAAACAATTTAGTATAATGAATTATTATATGTATATTTCATAAGTCAGACATGTTTTACCAAGACATCTGCAGGATCTTAAATGATGGCTTTCCAATTCAGTTGAATCTCGGGAAATAGGGTACCCTGTAGTGAAGAGAATACCCACAATGATAGTAAAAGAATAATGAGATGGTAACAAGTACTGACTGGGGAAGGATGATGGAGGGCTCCAGAAAGGATATCTTCACAGGAAAGAAAACACAACTGATGTCTTTGAATGCTGGAACAATTTTACTGAGTTGTGTTATGACAGAAATGTTGAAATACTTGGAAAAAAACTAATGGCAAGTGAGAGTGAATAAGCTCTAACAATGTGCAAATACTAAGGACAACCCCTCCCCACTGCCCTAATCCTGGCTTCCACAGTTCCAGGAAGAGGGAGCCTAAGAAGCCTGTGTATGCTGGATAAGGTGGCTCCTACACCAAGTTCTACAACTCATTAACAGAAATGAAGGGTGATCCCTGAAACACCAGGTTAAATGCTCTCCTGCCCTTTACTACATCCACATCTCTCAAATACTGTCAATGATGAGATGGATCCCAAATTTGGCATGCACCTGGCAAGCCCCAGCAAAACTTCAATCTCCCCAATAATTATAGTCTCAACACTACCATGTGCCTTGAGACCTTCCAAAATAATGACCTTTTTCCTTATATACATGAGGCCCAGGATCATCATTCCCAGGTCTTCCCTCATGCCCCAGACTTCTATGCCTACAGAAATTTATCCTCTTTCCTGACCCATCTCTCCTCGACTCAAACCTCCACCCTACCTCAGCCACTAATTCCCATAACCATACACTAGATCTTAACATTACCAATAACTTCAACTTCTCCAGAGTTTTAACATCAAGCATTCAAATCTCCCAGCATCTCCTATCTTTCTTGATCCCAGAAAGTATTTTTACTCAAAAAGGATTTTTAACCAACCCATGCATATACTCATTTCTTCCACTCTAATCAGCTAAGATTCCATAGTACATCATTATAACCACTCCTTTGCATATAACCTTAACTCCTTTGCCCTGTATCCTTTGTCATAATCACTTAGCAAAACACCTATTCTGATTAAATCCAACATTTTGTCAACTGCCTCGAACCAATACAGCTGGAGAAAAACACAGCCATGCTAACTAATCTCATTTTAATTTCATGACCCTCAAGTGAGCTGCCTGGAAATCACACATTTCCCTAGTCTATCACCTTCTAGATAACTATTTCACTCCTTCTCTCTCTTCATGTCCTCTATTCATGTCCTCTATCTCCACCAATAACTGATCATCTTGCTTCTAACTTATTGAAAAAATAAAAACAATCAGATTATTTAGACACACAGCTACCTATCCACCTATACTTATGCTCATTGATTTCACCTCCCCTCTTATTACTATGGATGAACTGTCTATGCGCCAAATGAAATGTACATATACCCCCATCCCAATACCCACACTAGATCCCATCCCCTCCCACCTACTCAAAAAAATTGTTCCAGCGCTTCTCTCTTCCGTTTTACATCATCAATTTTCCCTTCATGACTTAACAATCCTTATCAGCACAGTAACATAATGTAATTTCTCCCAACTTAAAAAAGTTCCATTAACCTTACTTCCCTATCAGTTACCAGCCCCCTTTCCAGCAAAACTCTAATGAGTTGTCTATACTTGACATCTCTAAACACACTCCATTCAGGCTTATCCCCATCATCCCACTGAAACACTCTTAAGATTACCAATGCTACTAAATTCTCAGGTCTTAACTTACTAGACATATCTGCAACATAACTCTAGCTCATTACTAGCTTCTGCTTAAAACACTTGGCTTCCTTCTATTTATCTGGCTGCTCTTCCTCAGTCTCCTTTGCTGTTTCTTCTTCCTCTCCTCAACCTCTAAATATTGGAGAGTTCAGGGCTTGTTCTTGGGCCTCTTCTCTCCTGTATCTACACTCCCTGGGAGATCACAAATAGTCTCCCAGCTTTAACTACCATTTTTACACACTGACAGCTCCCAAATTCTATCACCGGCCTGTACTTTTTCTTAAACTCAAGACTTATACAACAATTATCTACTCCGCATCTTCACCTGCATATCTAAAAGGCATTCAAATATAGCATATTGAAACCCAAACTCCTGATCTCTACAAATCCCCACTACCTCCCATCAAAATAAAACTAAATAAAAGCAAACAAAACACTAGTCTTCCCTGGAATCAGTCCATTCTTTCAGCTACTCAGGCTAAAAAGTCTGGTGGGCAGGCCGAGTGGCTCAGTTGGTTAAGAGTGCAAGCTATGAGCAACAGGGTCGCCAGTTCAATTTCCGCATGGGCCAGTGAGCTGTGCCCGAGCTGAGGTGCCACTGAACTGCCAACAGGTGGCAGGATGGCTCAGCTGGTGAGAGCACGTGCTCCTAACAACAAGGCTGCCAGTTTGACGCCCGCATGGGATGGTGGGCTATGTCCACCCACAAGATTGAACACGGCACCTTGAGCTGAGCTGCCCTGAGCTGCCAACGGGCAGCCGGAGGGAGGCTGGACTTGAAGCTGAGCTTGCTGCACCCTCTACAACTAAGATTGAAGGACAACAATTTGACTGTTCCCCTTCCCCAATTCCCAACACTGTTCCCCATCCCCAATAAAATCTTTAAAAAAAAATAAAATAAAATAAAATGTCTGGTGTTTTCCTTGATGCCTCTCTCACATTTCACATCCAATCCATTGGGAAATCACATTGGCTTTATCTTCACAATGGACCAATTCACACCAACTCTGCTACCATGGTCCAAGCCCATACCATTTCTCACCAAAATTATTATAATACTCTCCTAACTACACTATGAGCTTCCACCCTTGCCTCAGGCCCACAAGTCTATTTTTAACATAGCAGCTAAAATGATTTTTGAAATTTAAATAACAAAAATTAACTCCCTTAATCTAAAATGTCACCTTCTGTTGAAACCTTCCAGTGGCTTCTCATCCTGAGTAAAAGCCAAGTCCACAAAATGGCCTACAACTAAAATCTGCCCTTCATCCTCCATCCTTCTGGCATTATCTTTCTGATGAGTGTCTTCATTTCAGCCACACTGGTCTCCTTGTTTTCCGGAACACACTAGGAGCATTTCCCTGATGGTTTGCATTTGCTTTCTCTACCTGATATGCTTTCTCAAATATAGTAAAACCTTGGATTGCAAGTAACTTGGTTTGCGAGTGACTTGGTTTGCGAGTGTTCCACAAGACGAGCAAACTTTTCTATTAGGTTGGTGCAAAAGTAATAGCAGTTTTTGCCATTACGAGTTTTGCACCAACCTAATACATTTTAACTTCGTAAATGAGCGATGTCTTGCAATATGAGTAGTTTGTTTCCAGAATGAATTATGCTCACAAACTGAGGTATTACTGTATCTGAATGGCTTGGTCTTTCATCTCCTCCATGTCTCTGCTCAAATGCCTCCTTATTTCTTGACCACCTACCTACACCCAACTTTACTTGTCTTCATAATACTTAACACTAACATACTAAATGTTATTTGTTGTACATTGCCTGTTTCCCTTCACTAGAATATAAATTCCACAAGTCAGGAATTTTCTTTCTGGGTGCTCACTGCTGTACCCCAGCACACGGAACCGTGTCTGACACATATTTGGTTGAAAACATAGTGTTGCTCCTATTAGTCCCGTTTAAAGACTATCAAAAATTCAAGACCTGGAGCCACCAAATGTGGTTTCTCAGAAAATAAGATATAAAGGAAACTCCAGATTACATAGTTGTGACACTCCAGTCCAAGCTATTTACCAGGTCTGAAAGTGTTTAAGATATTCGGTCATTATCAGTGATGTATTATTATATTTGGTGTTGTTCAACAACTTCACACCTTTTTCTATAAAACCACTACCTTGCTTTGTAGAACACGTTTTAAGGACGATTCCCCAACCACTTGCTCCTTTGTGTTCGGAACCACCCTGAGGTTGACAAGGCAAGCAGAGCAAGAAGGTTAGGATGAGATTCAGTGACGCAGCACAGAGGCCAAGCAAGGCAAGCTCACACATAACACATGACACCATTTCCATTCCATTTGCCTCTGACGCTGCGCGAGGAGCATGACCCGGTTAGGCCCTTGAGGACTTTGCATTCCGGTGACGACAGATCAGAAGGCAGATGGAAAGGCAGACGGCACAAAAAAATGCTTGGAGACGCCTCAGGAAAGGAAGGAAGGCAGTTTCCTCTCAGACACAGCAGAAAATGGAATTTGGGTTTGGCAGAGTTACTGCCAAAGTACTTGAGACCCGCCCTGTTACAGTGGCACAGCGAAGATGGGCGCGGAAAGGCGGGACCCGAGGAACAGCCCTCAGGCCGCCCGCAACCGCGCCGCTGCCCAAGCAGCTGAGCCACTCGCCCGCCTCCCCCCGGGCATGAAGCGGTCGTCGTGCTGCTCGGAGGCTCGCCTCTCAACGCAGGTGTCGCGCGCGCCAGCCGCGGCGCTCACGTGTTCCTATCGCTGCCCCGGCAACCCTCCCCTCAGGCCCGCCCCCAGCGGCCCGCAGCGGGCAGAGCTTCGAACTTGCGGGCCAAGACAGAGACTGGGGAGGCGGCCAGAGCCCTGACGGCCGAGACGGCGGTTACCGGGTAGAGGTAGAGCACCGCTCCCACCAATGCCAGTAAGAAGGTAACGGCGAAGATGGCAAAATCCAACATGGTTCCTCCGCCCGGAGCCACGTCTCGGATCCCTGACTCCGGCAGCAGCGCCTCGGCCTGACCCGGCCTAAGGAATGAGCGTGTGGGAGACGCTCCCAGCGGAACCCGCCAGCGAATGCGCCGCGAGGGGCGTGGCCAACGCCTGGCCGGGGACTGGCGGGGAGAGCAATGGAGCGCCGAGGCGCGGCTGCGCAGCGGGACGGGACCCCAAGGCGGGCCTTACAGTGGACACGACTTCAGGACACGCCCACGATTTGGGGACGGAGTTACAGGGGATAACAGAAACGCTAGTAGTCATCGCTCTGCCCCGACCAACACTTTTTCCAGTGAATTTAAGATTCAAACCTCTAAACAATGATTCTCACAATGTGGTTCCCAGGCTAGCAGCAGCAGCAGCAGCATTGCTGGGGAACTTGCTAGAAATGCAGATTGTCCATCCCATACCAGACCCTGAGAATCAGACACTAAGAGGAAGAGGGGCACAGCAATCTGTGTTTTAACAAAGTTGTTAAACGCAGTGATAAACCACTGATCTAAGCCAACCCGAACAGGGAAGTGTCGGAGTCAAGCACCTTTAGGTGTTCCTTGTTTCACAAAAGAATTTATGTTTTAGGGGCCCACCGAGTGGCTCAGTTGGTTAAGAGTTGGCTTAAGTGGGCAAGCTCTGAGCAACAGGGCCTCAGGTTCCATTCCCACATGGGCCAGTGAAGCTGAGCCTGATCTGAGGTGTCGCTGAGCTGCCAACAGGTGGCAGGACAGCTCAGCTGGTGTAACAACAAGATTGCCTGTTCAGTGGTGGGCTATGCCCACCCTCAACTAAGACTGAACTCGGCACCTTGAGTTGAGCTGCCCCCCCCCTCAGTGGATGGCTCAGTGGATAGTGGATAGAGCATGCGCTCTTAACAGCAAGGCTGCTGGTTCAACTCCCGCATGGAATGGTGGCTACGCCCACCCGCAACTAAGATTGAACACAGCACCTTGAGCTTAGGGCCATGAGCTGCCAATAGGAAGCCAGATGGCGACTGGCGCCCTCCATAACGAAGATTGAAGAACAACAACTTGGCTGGTCCTCCCTCCCAATTCCCCAACACTGTTGCCCCTCTCCCAATTCCCCAATAAAAAAATCTAAAAAAAAAAAGGATTTATGTTTTAAGTGCTAGGAAATGTGATTCTGTGATGCTTGTGGTGGATAAGATTTCCTGGCTCCGCTAGACTTACAGTAAATCGCTTGAATTTTCTAAGCTTCCATTTCTTTCTGTGTAAAACAGTGTAAATAATACCACACAGAGTTGCCTGTAAGGTTCGATATTTTATTTAGCACAAATATTCAATATTTTATTTGGCACAGCTCCCAAAAAAGTGGTATCTACTTTAGCATTAGGAACCCTTTTCTATTTCACATGACTCATAAGTTTTGACATGGATAATGGAAGGCAAAGCCTGCTACCTACTGGTGTTACATTTAGTGAAAGCATCCTAAAAGTGTTTATAGATTTTATAGCTTTAATAATATAAAGTATCCAAGGAGGGGACCAGGGAAGGAAGGGCAATTAGCAAGAGAAATAATTGCAGATTTTAGAGTTTCTATGATAAATTACTTATTTTATGAATATGCATGAATCATTGAAAATTGCAAATCTTTTGGCATCTATAGCAAATGTATGAAAGCGTTGCTATTTGAGATTTAATTTTGCAGAATTAATGGTTTTAATTCTAGTTCTCTGCATACAGGTGTCTTTCAAAAGTTCATTTTTAAATCTCTTTTGAATTTTGAAGACATTTCCCATCAAACTCATGTTTCAAATAGGTTTTCAAAACAGTAAACATCAGGTTTTTAAGTGTGTAATGTAGCAGTAACCCTAGGCACCAATCCCCAGGATATCTGGACTCACTCCCCTTTTAGTCAATTGACCTAGAGCCTGAGACCCTCTGAATTTTGAGGATCTATGAAAAAGAAACAGAAATTACAGAGGTTAAACAGGGCAAAGTATTTTAGAGATTGAGTCTCTAAAACTATACAATGACCTCTTCTTGTGTTCAAATTTTTCCCTAAAAGTATTTTTGAAAAACAATATATATACTTTCACACATTTTGTGTTGAAATCTAAAATTTTTATCTTCACTTCAAAGGATTAAATTTCTTATAGAATTATATTGTAAATATTTGTAAACATTTTTAAATTGTTGTCTTTTTCATGTATAAAAAGGAATTTAAATACCATAATGATGTGATGACTATCATCAAGCATTTTTTTTAAAGATTTTTATTGGGGAATTGGGGGATGGCAACAGCACTGGGGAATTGGGGGAAGGGGAACAGACAAGTTGCTGTCCTTTTGTTCTTCAGTGTAGTTGTGGAGGACGTTGCTTCACTGGCCCAAGTTGGCACCATCATTGCATTCTTCCCGGGCTAGGCAGATCAGTCTCTGGCTTCTGGACGGCCGCTCACATGGTAGCCCATGGCAACCCACTGCAGCAGGGGCTGCAGCCTACGCTGTTGCCGGCAACTCATGGCAGCTCAGCTCCAGGTCGAGCTGTTGTTCAGCATCTTAGCTGTAGAGGGCAGTGTCGCTGGCCCTCATATGTGGGATCCGAACCAGGGCCCTCTGGCGTCCCAAGCCAGTTCTTAACCATTGCGCCACTCAGCTGGCCCAAGCATTTTTTTTTAAATACATAAATTCTTTGTGAAGAGCTGGAAATTTTTCATGGTTCCTTTTTCTGAACTTATTTCTAGTCACTTATCCCACAGAGTTTTATCCTAACATATTTTTATTCTTGAAAGTTTTTTTTTGATCACCTGTAATATTTCAACCCTATACATGTTGAATTTTTAAATATTTTTCAATTTTGTATCTCTAAAACTCCTATGAAATATTTTTTAATATTTTAAAAGACAAACATTTAAATAAAATATTTAAAAATTTAAAACATTTCAAGTTTTAAAACTTAAATATTTCTTCAGGATCAAGTTATTACAATTATGTCATACATGTGATCAAAAAATAAATACATAATTTGATAAAGTAGTAAACATAACTAAAATTCTATTGGAAATACATCTCTTCAGATGAATGGGCATTTTTTTCAATTAGTTTGTGTACTTATGAATGAACATTTGTTGCTAAAATTAGCCAGGATTCATTACCAATTCTATTCTTGTTTTTTGTTTTAATAAATATAAACCCTGGAAAACCTTTTTCACATAAATAACAAGATGGGACACTGATATAACAACATCATTCAATATTTTACAGTCCTTTTGAGATACAGGCTAAAAATCATTTATATATATTAAAATATGATTAACTAGGATTATATTATGTTTAATGGTCTGTTGTTCACCTTCACATCTCAATTAGGTCCTCTCCATTTTATTGAAAATAAAGACGTAAATGGAAACACTCGTGCTGGTTGTTCTCCATTCTCCCACCCTCCTCCCCACACCCTCAGATCCATTCTCTGCCATTCTTTGCCCTATAATGTAACCATCAGAGTTAATTCCTACAGGTGACACCACCTGAGAGCTCCCTTATAAACTAGCCTCTGGTGGGGTTCCACCAATAAGAGGCATCAGTACACAGAGTCTGAAAAAAAAGCAAGTTTAGAAGCTTCCTTTTTGCTCCCTCTCTGCTCTGAGCCACATTATCTGGCAGGGACTAAATCCCTCTACAAGTATTGCTTTCGAGGTAGAAGCTCTTCTTATGATCCTCCACCCTTTCTGAGCAACAGTAATATTATTTTCTCTCCTTGCCCCTTAAGACCTAGGAGTGATAATAGTTTCCTGTTGCTAGTCTCTGGATACTTCAGCATCCCTTGTTAGTGCCCCTAACCCTGCTTATACCTCAGCATATAGTCCCTTCACTAAAGTCTTTTGAACCATCTGGGTTAGACTCTGTTTCCTGTCAGAACTGACAAGTTGGCACCAGGAGTGACTCCCAGAAACAAGATGGAATTCTGGGCCATGTTAAACACATACTTGATGACCACATCAATGACATAAATCCTTGATAGTCTGTGGCATGCAATGGCAACAAGGTTATTCAAATTATCACCAGTGGTGGAATGGGATGGAATGCCAGTAGGCAACAAAACTTTGGGTGGTCAAGTGACTCTTGATGGCAACATAGGGATTACAAAAGATTGTAGAGTAGATGGCTTTTTCTGATTGTACTATAGATCTTATTATATAAGGAAAAAAATAAGCTCCGGGCCTTGAATTCTCAACACAAGGTACAGATGAACCTGAAAGCTTCAATGGTGGTCTCAAAAGAACCCCCTATCTTGTGCAGCTGCAGGGCTGATATGGCTGAGTATCAGTCTCCAAAAGCTAATTGTGCCAGTTGTAGAGGTACAATGCCAGCATGACCTTACTAAGTCTCTTATTCTAAAGTTAGGGCACTGTTTGAAAAACAAAATGACTCATATCAGGACATTTGGTCAGTGAAAGACAAAGATCACATCCCAAGTTTCTCTGAACCTCCCTTGCTGATGGAAGGAAACCAAAGTGCCCAGGCAACATTTGTATCTCACAATTCAATGGGACTCTTGCTATGTCTTCTGTGCCCCTTTGGGGATTAGGACCTGTAATCATGAAGAGCCCAGAGTTTGTGGGAATGGGAAGCACAGCCTCCCAGTGAGTCATTAGGAATGAAAGTCAGAGGTGCTACTTCTGCTTCCACTCCTTGATTTCCTGATCTATGCATTATTGTAATTGGAGCCATAGCACCATAAAAAAGGCTTCAATTTAATGTCAATAGTAAATCCTTAAGAATAACACTTCATCCTTACAGAGTAACTGCCTCCAGTCTGATGCTTCACCAACCTATTCTGATGTTCTATCAGGATCGCAGTGTGTGGGGGATGGATATAATATCATCAGTGGATCTTATTATCTAGGGCTTCCTCCAGCACCTATTTACCATAAAGTGAATAGGATCCTTTGGTCTGAAGTGATGTTATGTGTGATCCCTTGCCAGTGAATCAAACACTCCAAAGCCCTTAAGATAATGGTGCTGGATGAGGCCCTCTGGACAGAAAAGGCAAACCTACATAAAATGTGTCCATTCTTGTGAGACAGAACCTCTAGCTCTTCCAGAA